GACATTAAATTGTGTATTTTCAATGCAACCATAATGTGTTGTATACGTCACAAATTCCTATCCATTATGAATCAAAATTTTTAATCTCGTACCAAAGAAAGTATTTGTTTTTTTTTTCTATTAGTACGGTACCTATTGATATCAGTATATTTTGAGATACCGTTTAGAATTTATCTCAAAAAATTATATATGCATTAAAAATATTGTCTAGTAATAAATGATTTAAGCATACAATATCATAAAATACAAATTTATATGTAGAATATATTTATAAAGCACCATGTCTGCTACGTAACACAAATTTATATACTTCAAATAGAGTATGGAACACAAGTTTCTATCATTTGAATATTATAAATTACTAATAAATATATTTGTTATAATATATAATTGTGGATCGTTTAATTTCGTGAATTTATATATTTCGGTTGATTTTGTCTGGTATTGATGGAACTAGATGAAACCTATCGAGAAATTGAACGAAACAAAACTTGTCTATGTGTATCTCATTTTGTCTTTGGTATGGTACATATTGATCGATACAATACAAGATTGACAACATTGTTATGGACAGTAACATTTCCCAAATGCGAAAAATAAAATGAAATGAAATAACACTCAATAAACAAAAGCTTACATAGCAATTCTAATTAAGAGTGTGCCTGGTGCGGTTCGGGTAGTTTGAGAGTAAAATTACAAATCAAATGGCGAATTGGCAGATTAACGGATTGGCAAATGGCGGTTTTGACGATTTTGAGCGGATTGGCGGATTGAAGAATATTCTAACCAATTATCAAATATTTCCATAATATATAACACAAATTAATTTTACATAATATGCTTCATATATATAACTATTAATTTGTAACAAATTTTATATCTTAAATCTTTTTAACACTCATTTTTACTTTGATATGTTATTGGATGTTAAAAAATACATGTGTATTAACTATAGTAGAGCGGAGCGATTTGAAAATCGAATTATAAATTTTAAAATTCAATCCGTAATTAATAGATAAAGCAATGAAATTAATGCAAATCGATACGATTTTAACAAATTAGTCAATATTTTATACAGTCATAATTCCAATACTACACTTTAAATGATTCAGTCATCTCTCTTACATGATAATTATGACCCAAAAATCGAGAATAGCGGGTAATAATAAAATGATCAAATTTGTATTAAATTTATTTAAATTTCGTTTGGCATTGATTACGGTATCTAATTTTTTTATGTTAGAATTTTTTTAGCTTGATTTTTTTAGACTCGTTTGGTTTTTATTTTTAAATTTTTTTGACTTTTATAAAAAAAAATATATAATAATTATTATTTAAATGTGACATTTTATTTTATTAACTTATATAATTTATTTTACCTTTTTATATTTTTTTAGCCCTAAAATGAAAACCAATGGAGGACTTATTGTAGGTAAGGATAACCGTTTAGTTAGAAGGCTGTCGACCCAAGCTAGTGAGAGACAACCCACTGGGCCTAGACCTACGTGTTGAAGCTCAACTTGGAGTTGGCATGTGAGAGACAACTCATAAACAAAGCCCACAAGCCTTGTAATTTTATTTTATTTTAATAAGCAAAAAATTATATGATAATCTTAAGAAAAAATTAGTCTAAGGTTTCTCTTTCATTTTTAGTAATGGAAGAGATTCAAAATATTATTTTATGATGTTTAAGGTCTCTCAACCTCATACCCATGTATTATAGAGAAATTTGATATACCTCACAGCTTCAAACCTTCACCTCTCTCTCTCTCTTCTCTCTCTCAGACTCATGCCTCACCTCTTCTCTCTCCACGATGCTCTTCTCTCATTGAAGGTTACGGTTAGATTGGGTGCACTACACGCTGCATGAGATGTTTGGCTTGTTTCCTAAATTGAATCTACATTCTTAGTTGAAGCTATTTAATATATATACATACACAAAAATGTATACATATAAATATATATGTATATATGTATAATCCTGTACACTATTATATGAGACATATATAAATTTTGATTGATTGAGCTGAATTTCTATATTACGAATTGCATAACTTGGAAGATGAAGCTTAAAAACAGATATCTGCAATTGATTCTCTTATTTTTTTATTTCTCCTTTCCAACTAAGTTTTTTGTTTTTGTATTAAGCAGACCATCTCTATGGCAGAGTAAACAACATCAATTTTTATTTTTTTTAAAGAAAAGAAATTAAATGATTAAACATGGGTCTGCGATGCTTTGAGGGTCTCCAACATAATTAAATCTAGGATGCTAGTATGTATCAAGAACTCAAGCCCAACTCATTTGAGGAGGAAAGGAAAGATACCATTTTCTCTATTACTTTGCCTCTCATTCAAAGAAGATACACATGAGTTCTAAAATTAAGAAAGAAAATTGACTTTTGGATAATGCAAAACAAGTCTCAGGATATTGTCACTTTTTAAGATAGAATTCACTTGTCATAAAATTTCATGAATCTTTTCTGGTGGTGTTTTTTATGACAAGCAGATGGTTGAATCAAGATTTGAGGACCTTCTTGACTACCTTCTTAGTTGAAGCTGTTCAATTTGTTTATTATGATCATAAGCTACTAATAGTGCAAGTTTTCAGAAATTCTTCCTTATTTAACTTTTTCTTATTAGAAACCTTCCTTATAATCTCAAGGCAATGAAAACAAAACCACATTGCTATTAAACCTTTCTCAATACTCTATGTGAGAAATTTGTGCTAAAATTTATCTGGTTTGGTTAATTGTCTCTCCATTGTTTTATTTTTTCTGTGGTGTTCAATTTTCTCTGGATAGATAGAGGGATTTGAATGTTAATCCAGAGAAATTTGATGTTAGTTTAGAGAAATTTGAATATTAGTCTGGAGAAATTTGTGAAAGGTTCAAGAGTTTTTGATGTTAGTCCAGAGATTCAAAGAAATTTGATGTTGGTCTAGAGAAATTAGTTCAGAGAAATTTGAATGTTCAAGGTCTTGAATCCAGAGAAATTCCAATGATTGCTTTGTATGTTGAATTCATTATGAATATAGACATAAATATAGTTATTGGATTAAGCCTATGTTTGGCAAGAAGGTTTGGGTGGGTTTGGGGCTAAAATAGCCACAAAAAACAAAATAGGCTATTTTAGCCACAAAAAACAGAACATCAAATCCAACCCCTAATCATTACAATCCTCTCTCACAAAAAAAGTCAAAAAAGCCAAAAAGCCAAAAAGCCCTTCCCAAACCAGGCTAAAATAGCCCAGGCTAAAATAGCCAAAAAGCCAAAAAGCCAAAAAGCCAACCCACTTCCCAAACGGAGGCTAAGTCTCTTTTTGTAGTATAAGAATAATGTTGGATCAAATCACTGAAGCCATTAAACTACAGACAACACAAGTGAATTTCTCTGGTTGAAGGGAATTTTCTCTGGGGTTGAGTAAATTTCTCTGGAGTGGAAAGGGAAATTTCTCTAGGTTGAATCTAGAGAAATTCTTTGGTGAGATTTTCTCTGTGAATATGTATCCAAATCACTGAAGCCATTAAACTACGGATAACACAAGTGAATTTCTCTGGTTGGAAGGGATTTTCTTTGGGGTTGAGTAAATTTCTCTGGGGTGGAGAGAGAAATTTCTCTGGGTTGAATCCAAAGAAATATCAACCTAGAGAAATTCATCTGGTGGAATTTTCTTTGTGATGTGTCTAGAAAAATTTAGAATTTTCTCTGTGATGTGTTCAGAGAAATTATCTGGATTGAATTTTCTCTGAATAGATGTTGAGAGACCTTAGACATCATGAAAATATTGAGTGTCCTTTATGCTATAAAATCTTAATACTAAGGACCTTAAAAAAAATTCCCCTAATCTTAAATCCCTTGCAAGCTAATCCGTTAGTTTGATTTTGGTTAAAAGTTAAATTTTAATTTTTAAATTTATTTTCAGTCATATTATTTTTTTATTTTTTTAATAAAAAAAAATTAAAAAAATAACTTTTAACAAACTTTTCAAAATAATCCTAATGCCTGGTAAATCATGCCTTGTTTGGTTTGTATTTGAGAAACATGTTTTGAGATAAAAAGTACGAAAATTTGTTTGGTTTGATTTTTTTTCAAAAGATGTTTTGAAAAATTATTTTGAGAGAGAGTTTTGGAAAAAGTGATTGATTTGATGTGTACAAGAGAGAGATTTGTTTGGAAAATTTGTAAACCAAACAAGTTTTGAAAAAAAAAATTTGAGAAAATTTGTTTGGTTTGATTACTTTTGAAAACTTATTTGTAGAGAATTTTTTCCAAAATTTTTTGAGAAACACAAACCAAACAAGGCCTAGGATGTTAGTTTTTTGATTTTTTAAAGTAACTTTTTGATTTTTAAACTAAAAGATTGAGATAGCATTTGGTTTACTTTTCAAAATTCAACTCTGTTTTTAAATCATGATTTAGATGAAACATGTTAATCGAACATATTTTTAAAATACAACTCAAAATTATTTTCAAAACACATATTTTCTCTTATTATTATTATTATTATTATTATTATTATTCAATTAATCAAATTTTTTTTTCCCTCATCTCTCCTCTTTCCTCTCACATTATATACATCAATTAATTAAAAAAAATTACAAATCATTCTAAAATTATTTTCAAAACTCATAACTAAACAAAAAAATTTCTTTTTAAATTATGATTCAAAAACTCAAAATTTAAAATATAATTTCATACTGAAATCAAAATTTTAAAATTAAACCAAACTAACCCTAAATTACCAAATAAGACCTAAATACAATAATAATACCGCATATATAGTAAGCAAACACAAAAGTTTGATTGTATACAACGAAACATCGCGCTTTGATTGTATCTAATCCAAAAGAAAACAATTCACGGGTCGGGTCCCTTCCCTTCATCCGAACCTACCTCTATCTCTTAATTTACAATACACACAAAAAAGAATAAAAAAATAAAAAAATAATCATAATATTATAAAATATAACGCGTTTATAATCTAGAATTATTGAGAACAGTTACCGCAGTTTTGTGGGATGGGCAGACCTTTGCATGCTATCTATGGAACTTGTGATACAATAATAATACCACATATAGTAAAGCAAATTTAGTACACAAAAGTTTGATGCTATATACAACGAAACATGTCGATTTGACTGTATCAAATCCAAACCAAACAATTCACGGCTCCCCTTCCTTCCTCCGAAACTACCTCTCTTCCCTCCCATTCTCAATTTAGCAATACCACACACAAAAAACACCTCCCCAACCTCTCTCCATTCCATTCCCATAAACATGTATATATAGTTATACGTACTCTCTTGTCAATTGTTTCTCCCAAAGCAGGACCTAACAATGGAGATGTCCACCAGACCATCTCCATCCCCTCTCATTCTCTTCCTCTTCTCCCTCTTCCTCCACCACTTCGCCGCCGTGTCCTCCATCGGCATCAATTATGGAACCATCGCCAACAACCTCCCACCACCGGCCCAAGTTGCGCAATTTCTCAAAGACAAAACAATAATCGATCGGGTTAAGATCTTCGACGCGAACCCAGATATCATCCGGGCTTTTGCCAACACAGGAATCTTTCTTTCTGTTACAGTCCCCAATGGCGAAATCCCCAATCTCGCTAACTTACGCAATGCTCGCAGATGGGTTAGCACCAACGTCAAACCTTTTTACCCACAAACCAAAATCAATTACATTTTAATGGGTAATGAAATTCTTCACTGGGGAGATCAAAATATGATCTCGAATCTCGTTCCCGCTATGAGATCTCTGCATCGGGCTCTGGTTCGGGCCGGACTTGGAGCTATCCGGGTCACAACCCCGCACTCGCTTGGGATCCTTTTAAGCTCCGACCCACCCAGTGCAGCCAGTTTCCGACCCGGTTGGGACCGGGCCGTACTAGCCCCGATGCTTCAGTTCCTCAGACAAACAAAATCACCGTTTATGGTCAACCCATACCCATATTTTTCATGGGCCCCGAAAAACAATCAGTTCACCCTCTTCCACCGTAACCGCGGCGTTCGTGACCGGTTCACCGGGAAGACCTACTTCAACATGTATGATTTGTTGTTGGATGCTGTATTTTCGTCGATGAAGAAGCTGGGTTATGGTGATGTTGAGATAGCTGTGGGTGAGGTGGGTTGGCCGTCGATGGGTGACCCGGGTATGACCCAATGTACGGTGGAGAATGCGCAGTGGCATAATATGAATATTCTAATGGAGTCTCGTTCCGGGGCCGGAACCCCGTTGATGCCTCACCGGAAATTGGAGACCTATATTTTCGCTCTGTTTAATGAGAATTTGAAGCCCGGTTCGGCTGCAGAGAGGAATTTAGGGCTTTTCAGGCCCGACTTTTCGCCCGTGTATGATATGGGGATTATGCGAGGAGGACAGGTACCTTATGTTATGCAAAACAAAAATATAAATATTGATAATATTAGTGAGGAAAAACAAAAATGATTTGGACTACTAAACAAAGACTGGAGACCTATATTTTCGCTCTGTTTAATGAGAATTTGAAGCCCGGTTCGGCTGCAGAGAGGAATTTAGGGCTTTTCAGGCCCGACTTTTCGCCCGTGTATGATATGGGGATTATGCGAGGAGGACAGGTACCTTATGTTATGCAAAACAAAAATAAAAACAAAAATATAAATATTGATAATATTAGTGAGGAAAAACAAAAATGATTTGGACCACTAAACAAAGACCTCTAATGCATTTTTAATTTGCCTTTTTCTTCTCTCTTTTTTGTCTTTTACTTCACTGTTTTTTTTTTTTTTTTTTAATGGTTGGACAGCTCATTAGAGCTGCACTGTTGCAGCTCTAATTAGAGCTCCGGAGCATGACCCGAGGAAAAATTACGGATACATTCCTCTATGAGTATTAATAACGATGGAATTGTTTTATCTTCTTATTATATTTTACTTATTAATTTACGTATTAATACTATATTGATTTAATGGATTTCAACAGTCATTTTCTAAGGATGCATTATTTAGATGTGAAATGGTAAAAGAATTATAATTATTAAAGTATTATTGCATATAAAAGAAGTTTTTTTTTTTTTTTTTAATTCATATTATTTGATAAATTAATTATGTCAAACATAAAAATTTTAAAGTATAAAGAGAGAAATTAATATCTATTCCAATTTCTTTCTATAATAAGTGCGTAAAAAATTGCAATAAAATTGTGCCATTAAAAAAAAAAACTTTAATAAATTATCAAATATTTTTTAAAATATTGTGCGACCTCATAATATTGTTATAAAAAAGTCAAAAAGTCATTATCTTATTTAAGTTACATTATTTTATTTAAGTCACATCATCTCTCTACCACATCACTTCAAACTAAAGTCATATTTCACAAAAAATTAAAAAATATATTTATTTAAATCATACCAAACTACCCTTTAATATCTTGGTATGAATGAACCTGAAAAGGTTTGGCGTTTGCGTGCGAATTAAGCAATATCAACAGCAAAAAGCAATAGCAATGTACCATGTAATTGGATTTTTTGATAGCTTTCTATTTATTTTTTATTTTTTATTTTAAGAAAATACTTGATGGCTAGAATAGTTGTTTTTGAAGCTGAGCGATAAATGCTAGAAATTTATTATTTAAGTCTCACATTTTATTTTAATTTGTAAGAAAAATTATTATTTTGTATAAAATTAAATAATTTGTAAAATTTATTAATTTTCATAACATTAATCTTATTGTGCTGGTTAACATAGGTGATTAGAAATGTTAAGCAAACTAAATTATCTAACAATAAAGGGTTTGTTCTTGAATATCATAAGAGCAGTGGTAAAAAAATTTATAATACTTCCATTACAAAAAATCCTATAATTATTTTAAAGTTTTTAACAAGTGCAATTAGAATATTCATTAATAAAATCTAATTTAAAATGTCATTTGATTATCAATACATTAATTTAAGATGTGGAAGGTTAATTCAGTAGTTGTTTGGATGGAGATTTTAACAACAATGCTAGGTGATTTGAATTTTCTTGGCTCGAATGGCTTGAATCTCTCGAAACGACGTTTTGGGGGTAAAACGATGTCGTTTTGATATATTCGAACCATCCGAGCCACACAAATTTAGGTCACTAAACATTTTTCAGATTCTAAATGGTCTTTTGAAACTTAAGAAATCCTTCCACCTAAAATATACTTACTTGGTTAGATTTTTGAAATAGACTTGTGCTAAAAGTGAAATCTCTCCTATCTGAAAAAATGAAAAAGAAAAAAGAAGTGAAATCTCTGAAAGTACAGTCAATGAGTTATAGCTCACACTTTTCATGATTATATTAATACATTAATGGTGTGTTTGGTCGAGGGATTTAGGGAAGGATTTGGAAAGAAAAAGAAAAAAGGTGTGTGAAACTAGGTGAAATGTAGTTATATTTTATTTACATTTTACCTAACTTTTATCTTTTCCTTTTCAAATCCTTCTTTAAATCCCCAACCAAATACAACGTAATAAATACCTTAACATAGCATTGGAGTTGAGTCATTTCAAGATTCCCCACATCACAAAGTGTGTGTTTATCAATTTTTCCTCTTTACTTAAATCTTGCCTTACTTTTCTTGTTAGGTTTTGAAATTCTTGCATCCACTAAGCACTTTCGTGTGCCACATAGTTACATTTTTGTTCTGTTTCTAAAATCTTTCATCGTATTTTAATACACTTCAAATAGTTAGGGTCAAAAGAAGACTACATGCCCCATTCACATTAATCACACCCCTACGTTCAAAAAAAATCATACCCCATTAATAAGACACAATGATCTTGTACTTTCAAATCGGTAAAGAAAAAACATACTATTTCCGTAAAATATTTATATCAAATTTTGCATGAAAATGATTTGATAATATTATTTGTGTAATTAAATGGGTAAGAAAAATATTATTTCACAATAATGTTTATATCAATTTTTGACCAGAATGATGTGATAATATTATTTGTGTAATTAAATGCATTTCAACGAGTTTTTTGTTTTAAAGTGATAGTGTCATTATGTATAAATTTTCTATTGGGTTTACCAGCTCGACCTGTCTTGAGCTCGGTTATGCCGGAATGCAACCGAGCACGGTCGTTATGGAGCTCGACGAGTGAAGTACTCGGACTCGTTATCCAACACGGTTGTGTGAGGCCGAGGTGATGCCGCCGGGCTGCCGAGCTCCCACTAATGTAGTTTGCCGGTTTGGTTAGGTGGTGATTGCGGAATTTGTGCTGACAGATAAGAGAGTAGCTCCACGTGTCAAGAGGCTAATGGGAGCAGATTTGAGCGCAGAAAGTATATAAGCCTGATTGCGCCCCCATGCTGGGGATGGAACATCATTTGGTGAGAAACACTCATTGTGATTTATCTTTCTTTTCCTCTCTCTCTCCCTGAGTGTGTGTGCTAACTTGACCGTCGGAGGGGTTTTCCGGCCACACACCGAGTAGCTCACTGCCGTTGTGCTCATAGGTCGATCGGACAGATAAGGAGCTTGGACGAAAGGAGTACGGGCTCCGCAAAATATTTGCTCCCCGTACACTACTTATAGATTATAATTAAAAGTTTATGTTTATTCATAATTTGATCCCACAATAATAATATACACCATTGATTTAAAAGTCCAAGTAAATTTATGATAACTTTTCTAAGCTTATAGATTTTTTCTCTTTTAATGTTTTGTTTAGTTTGATACAAGTTATTTATGTTATCAAGTAATTGTGATATTATTATTCTGAACAATTTTTATAATTAATAATTTCTTATGCATATCAAATTTTATTATGAAATTTTGTGGGTTAATTATTGTTAACATCTACCCAGATGGCTTAATATCATGATTTGTCGCTATTAAGATATAATTTAAGATTAAAATGATTTATTTATCACACAAAATATAAATAATCTATTTTTCCGTGCATCGCACGGGTTACCGCTAGTTAATAATGATGGAATTGTTTTATCTTCTTATTATATTTTACTTATTATTTTACGTATTAATACTATATTGATTTAATGGATTTCAACAGTCATTTTCTAAGGATGCATTATTTAGATGTGAAATCGTAAAGGGCAATGCTAGAGGTCCCAAATTTTCTACCAAATAAATGACCAAATGTCTCACATGGGTGTGGGGCCCACAAAATTGCGGACCTCACACCCATGTGAGACATTTGGTCATTTGTTTGGTAGAAAATTTGGTATCCCTAGCATTACTCAATGGGGTAAAAGAATTATAATTATTAAAGTATTATTGCATATAAAAGTAGTTTTTTTTTTTTTAATTCATATTATTTGATAAATTAATTATGTCAAACATAAAAATTTTAAAGTATAATGAGAGAAATTAATATCTATTGCAATTTCTTTCTACAATAAGTACGTAAAAAATTGCAATAAAATTGTGCCATTAAAAAAAAAAAAGCTTTAATAAATTATCAAATATTTTTTAAAATACTGTGAGACCTCAGAATATTGTTATAAAAAAGTCAAAAAGTTATTATCTTATTTAAGTCACATTATTTTATTTAAGTCACATCATCTCTCTACCACATCACTTCAAACTAAAGCCATATTCCACAAAAAATTAAAAAATACGTTTATTTAAATCTTACCAAACTACCCTTTAATATCTTGGTATGAATGAACCTGAAAAGGTTTGGCGTTTGCGTGCGAATTAAGCAATATCAACAGCAAAAGGCAATAGCAATGTACCGTGTAATTGGATTTTTTGATAGCTTTCTATTTATTTTTTATTTTTTATTTTAAGAAAATACTTGATGGCTAGAATAGTTGTTTTTGAAGCTGAGCGATAAATGTTAGAAATTTATTATTTAAGTCTCACATTTTATTTTAATTTGTAAGAAAAATTATTATTTTGTATAAAATTAAATAATTTGTAAAATTTATTAATTTTCATAACATTAATCTTATTGTGCTGGTTAACATAGGTGATTAGAAATGTTAAGCAAACTAAATTATCTAACAATAAAGGGTTTGTTCTTGAATATCATAAGAGCAGTGGTAAAAAAATTTATAATACTTCCATTACAAAAAATCCTATAATTATTTTAAAGTTTTTAACAAGTGCAATTAGAATATTCATTAATAAAATCTAATTTAAAATGTCATTTGATTATCAATACATTAATTTAAGATGTGGAAGGTTAATTCAGTAGTTGTTTGGATGGAGATTTTAACAACAATGCTAGGTGATTTGAATTTTCTTGGCTCGAATGGCTTGAATCTCTCGAAACGACGTTTTGGGTGTAAAACGATGTCGTTTTGATATATTCGAACCATCCGAGCCACACAAATTTAGGTCACTAAACATTTTTCAGATTCTAAATGGTCTTTTGAAACTTAAGAAATCATTCCACCTAAAATATACTTATTTGGTTAGATTTTTGAAATAGACTTGTGCTAAAAGTGAAATCTCTCCTATCTGCAAAAATGAAAAAGAAAAAAGAAGTGAAATCTCTGAAAGTCCAGTCGATGAGTTATAGCTCACACTTTTCATGATTATATTAATACATTAATGGTGTGTTTGGTCGAGGGATTTAGGGAAGGATTTGGAAAGAAAAAGAAAAAAGGTGTGTGAAACTAGGTGAAATGTAGTTATATTTTATTTACATTTTACCTAACTTTTATCTTTTCCTTTTCAAATCCTTCTTTAAATCCCCAACCAAATACAACGTAATAAATACCTTAACATAGCATTGGAGTTGAGTCATTTCAAGATTCCCCACATCACAAAGTGTGTGTTTATCAATTTTTCCTCTTTACTTAAATCTTGCCTTACTTTTCTTGTTAGGTTTTGAAATTCTTGCATCCACTAAGCACTTTCGTGTGCCACATAGTTACATTTTTATTCTGTTTCTAAAATCTTTCATCGTATTTTAATACACTTCAAATAGTTAGGGTCAAAAGAAGACTACATGCCCCATTCACATTAATCACACCCCTACGTTCAGAAAAAATCATACCCCATTAATAAGACACAATGATCTTGTACTTTCAAATCGGTAAAGAAAAAAATACTATTTCCGTAAAATATTTATATCAAATTTTGCATGAAAATGATTTGATAATATTATTTGTGTAATTAAATGGGTAAGAAAAATATTATTTCACAATAATGTTTATATCAATTTTTGACCAGAATGATGTGATAATATTATTTGTGTAATTAAATGCATTTCAACGAGTTTTTTGTTTTAAAGTGATAGTGTCATTATGTATAAATTTTCTATTGCTATATAACCCACTCAATGGATAATGCTATACAAACATATTTTTGCATAGAAATTTCATACAAAATATCATGATTTTTTATTTATTTTTTTAAATCTTATCATTTCAAACTAAAATACCATTAATTGTTACAACATTGAGTACAAAATTTTTGTTTGAAAATTATTGTTCTTTCGAACTTTTTGCTTCAATACATTTTTAAGTACTTGATTATGTAAAACTCAAAATGTACAAGAATCTTTAAACATGAATAATAATTTAATAATTAAGAGCACATTAATAAGACAAGAATAAAAATATATGAAAAAAAAAAATTATTATGTGAATAACTATTTCAAATTGGCTTCTATTTTTGAGAATATTTCATAAAGTGACTATACTTGGTTTTTTATTTTTTTATTTTAACTATTGCAAATAACAGGCTGGTGGTGATGTTGGGAGGCCTAGGCCTAGGCCCGTGCCCGTGCCCGTGCCCGTGCCCGTAGCTGGAAAACAGTGGTGCTTGCCGAAAGTAGGGGCGAGTGACGCGGCGTTGCAGGCAAACATCGACTGGTTGTGCGGCAATGGAGTCGATTGCCGAGCCATTCAAGTTGGTGGACAGTGCTTCAACCCTAACACGGTTAGGTCTCATGCAGCTTACGTAATGAATGCTTACTACCAGGCCAAGGGTCACCAGAGTGTTAACTGCGACTTCTCTGGCACCGGTGTTGTTGCCTCCTCTAACCCAAGTATGAAATTTCTCATTCTCTCTCCTCCTCTCTCCTCTCCCACATTTATAAAATTGTAACTCAATATTATAATATTATTCATTTTAAAAAGAATGAATTATAATAACTTGTCCATAAAAAATATTCTTAAAAAAAATATATATATATTATTTATTACAAGTATTTACAAGTGCCTGTTAAAAAAAAAAAAACAAAAAAAAAAAAAAATCGGGTAAGGATTTTTTGCAGTGGCTGAAAGGTGCTTCACTTTAACAATTTCAATCATTCAATTTATTAGACTATGTATGTAAATAATTCGTGAAAAAATAAAATAAACTCAATAATTATACTCGCATAATTTTATTTTATCTTTAAAAAAATAACGGCTCTACAAAATGATGAGTGTAGATTCTTAATGTCCGACCATGAATGAGCCCACAGACCCAACAATGTACATTGAAAGTGACCTGGAATTGAAAACCCAGGTCCACGACTGAGGACTGGTGGAGCCCAACTTTGATAGAAAATACCAATCCTTTGGAGCCCAACCGATTGCTATCCAAAATCATTAGAGCCCAGTCATGATATTCCAGCCCAATTTCTTTAATCTCTCAGCTTGGGTCTCCCAACAGAATTACTTTGTTTTTTAGTTTAAAAAAAAAAACTTAAAAAATTGAAATTGTACAAAAGTAACCAAAATGAAATCTTTCATGCATCAAATAAAGCATGTTAGATTATTCACTTGATAAAGGCTGTGATCTGACAAAATGACAAGTGTTATTTGCACACAGTAGTCTCGCTACAAAAAAAAAAAAAGAAAAAAAAGAAAAAGAAAAAAGAAAAAGAAAGAAAGAGAGATTGTGTTTCTTCCATCTCTTTTGGACTACAATATCAGAAATCTTTATGCACTAAATAGGATGTTTAGAAGGATCCAATAAATCTTTTAAAATGTGGAGTCAATTAACAACAATGCCCTCTCTCTTCTTGACATTCTTTGTACAAGCATATATATTCATTTTAAAAAAAAAAAAATTTAATTTGTTTTTTAATGTGAGTGCAGGTTATGGTACCTGTAAATATATCGCTTGAGATTGGATCATACCGGAAGTAGAAAAAAGAATACAAAGGCTGCATGGGGGGTTACGCATTAATTTAATTTCTTGTTTCCTTGAAAAGTTTGCATTGTAACTAATGTGAAGGTGTTCACTAACTAATTTACTTCCCACTGCCCATATGATGGTGCAATTTAAACTTAATGTTACCCATTTTTTTTTGGTTATGGTGTGATGTTTACAATGCATGTTCAATCATAATTCCTATAAGATATGTGACACGTCCTTATGAAGAGACATATATAGATTGTGTGAATATGATGTACACACATTAATACATACAAAATAACAATAATAAAGATAATGGGATGACTGGACTTAAATTCATCACTTTTTGTAATCAAAACTCTAATCTTATGTTAGAATTTAGAGTTATCTAACTTTAAAATGATTAAGAACATGGTTAATACTTTTTTTTTTTGCAGCCAAAGGATATAAGCACTAGAGCTAAGTTCAAATTTAATACATCAATTATCAGATGTCAAAAGGTCCAATAGTATGATTCATAGTTGCAAAAATTTTATTGCCACAATTATTTTGTATAAATATATAAATGTTTTCCTTAAAAATATTAACTAGCTTTTCAAAAACCTTGTTTGGGAACATATTATTTTACTAATTTTTTTATTTTTTGACTAAAATATGAGGTAAAAAAAATTAGTATGTTTATGTTTGGAATGACATTTTATTTTTTACGAAAAGATGTGCAAAAAGTAGAGAGAAAAGTAAATCATTGACTTTTTTGGGAGCTTTTTGGCTACTTTAGCCACAAAAGACAAAATAGACTATTTTAGTCACAACAGACAAAACATCACATTCAACCCATAATCATTACACTATTCTCTCATAAAAAAAGTCAAAAAAGCCAAATAGCCCTTCCCAAACCAAACTTTTTAACCCAGGCTAAAATAGTCAAAAAGTCAAAAAGCCAACCCACTTCCCAAACGAAGTGTAAGTTATACTAATCTTTTTGGTTTTTTTAGGATTCGTTTCGCATGAATGTTTGGGTTGGGTTGGGTTGGGTTGGGTTAGGCTATTTTAGCCACAAAAAGATAAAATAGACTAAAAAGTCAATAACATAAAATGTCACATTCAAACCATAATCATTTTATTTTTTCTCTTATAAAAGTCAAAAAAATCAAAAAGCTCATATCAAACGAGACTTTTTAGCTCAAGTTAAAATAACCAAAAAGTCAAAAAATAAAAAACCTAACCCACATCCCAAACGAAGGCTTAGTAACTTTTTAACTTTTAAACTAAAACATGTGTATCCCAAACGACACCTAAGAGTATGCATGTCAAGAGAAGTTGTTTCTTCTAATTTTTTTTAAAATTTTATTTTATGGATAGTTAAGACTAATTTAAAAGGATAAAGCTAAGCAAACAAAATTTTACACACAGAATTTATGATGTCTATTTCTGTGTTTCTTTTATTTTTAGTTAAAATATATCCATCATTATTACTCAAAATTACAAAATATCTGCCACATCATATATGACTTTTACGTATAAAAATAATGGTTATAAATTACAGTTTAAAATATTGACATAAATTAGGGCTTTTCACGTTGGCTGTGAAATTTCATGATATCATGAGATTGACATTGTAACCATGAACTGTTTTTGATTGCCCTAAACACCGGCATTTGGCACTGGTGATGGCTGGGTGATGATTGAGTATGGTTATGAGGTTCACTCCTAGTTTGGTTTCAAATGCAACACACATTAATGATTAACAATGAACCTCAATTAATAATATATCAGCTAACTTTGGTGCTTGAGGTTGATATATTAACCTAATATTTATTAAGATTATGATAAGTTATTTGGTGGTCATGGGACATGTCAAGTCATATCCCATGAATGTTGTGATTGGTAGAGAGAGTATGATCTATGATTTTGCGTTGGATATAGGAGAATAACAGAGGACATGACATTTAGCCTCCGTTTGGGAAGTGGGTTGGCTTTTTGGCTTTTTGGCTTATTTTAGCCTGGGCTTAAAAGCTTGGTTTGGGAAGGACTTTTTGATTTTTTGACTTT